AGGCATGCTACCTGTTCTTTCTAGAAGGGAGACCTCACAAGGCCACACAGCTACTTCCACTGGTTGAGAAAGAAGCTTGAGAGAGTCTGTAGGGCAAACATACCCACTGAACATCTACCATTAGGTAGGAAAGGCATTTAGGCAACATGGGTAGACAGCTCGGTGTAAAGGGGACCCATAAATCCTGCCAAGAGAGCCCTGTGGTGACGGAGGTGTTCTGGACCCGTGCTGTTCAGCAACGCAACCACCAGTCACATGTGCCTCATGAGCACTTAAAATGTGGCTATTGTGGATGAGGAACTGGTTTTTAAACTTTATTTAATTTTAATTAATTTAAATTCAAGTTTAAATAGCCGCATGTGGCTGTGACTGCGGCGTTGGGTAGCCAGCCCTAGTGAGAATCTCACATTACCAACCACATCCCAGTGCTGGGATGGAGGCAGCTCTAGGTGACACGGTTGCTCTGTCTAGTCCTGAGGGAGGTCTGGCTGCTTTGTAAGTCACAGGCCGGGGATTTGAGGCTTCCTGACTCCTTCCAGCCTCTTCACTGCTCTAGGAGGATGTCTCCGAGTTATTTCACAGCAGCACTCCTGCTGCGGGGCTGTCAGCCTTGCCCGGTTCAAGGTCAAGGGCCCTGTCTGCGGCTTGAATACAAGCTCAGCTCTATAGCTCTGGGAGGATTACAGGGGAAAACCAGGGGCGAAGGGATCTTGTGTCCCTAACTTGGAGCATAGGCAAGCTTCACAATTGTCCCCTCATACTGGTCTCCCATTTCCCACTTAAAAGATATAAAGGAAGATAAAATGCCGGGCACGGTTGCTCACGCCTGTAATCCAAGTACTTTGGGAGTCTGAGGCAGGCAGATCACAAGGTCAGGAGATCGAGACCATCCTGGCTAACACGGTGAAACCCTGTCTCTACTAAAAATACAAAAAATTAGCTGGGTGTGGTGGTGGGCGCCTGTAGTCCCAGATACTCAGGAGGCCGAAGCAGGAGAATGGCGTGAACCCAGGAGGTGGAGCTTGCAGTGAGCCGAGATCACACCACTGCACTCCAGCCTGGGCGACAGAGTGAGACTCCATCTAAAAAAAAAAAAAAAAAAAAAAAAAAAAAAAAAAAAAAAAAAAAAAAATTTTTAAAAGAGGACATTTTTAAAAAGCAAGAGCACAGATAATGTCAACATTCAATTGTGGGAAAACATAGGAACCCTCAGCTAGCCAAACAGGGCTGCCCCAAAGGGTCCAGCAGAATCCCTGGGAATACAAATCCCTCCCACAGGCACGAATAACCTTCAATTATCTTGACACATTCAGTACTTCTCTGCCAAGGTTGACAAAAGACATCCAGTCTCAGCTTCTGCCCAGGCTGCCCTGGGCAAGGCTGAAGGCCTGAGGCACCGGCCCCAAGCTCCAGCCCGCCTGAGGCCAGGGCATCAATCAGGTGTAGGAACAGATCTAGGGTAGGGGGCTGGGCTGGGCTGGGTGAGGGTCATGACTCAGCTGAGGAAAAAGGGGGGCACTAACTCCAGCACCAGAAAGATCTGGAAGGGTAGGAGGAGACCAAACAGTGATGCAAACCTCAGGCTGGCTCCCTTGAAAGTGGGTCCCAGAGGGAGGGGAAGGCATGTGGCTATTCTAAGCCTGAGTGCCCCCCTTACCCAGCCCTCCAGGCAGGACATGGTCAGCCTAGGTCAGATTGTAGGGCATCCACAGGTGTCATGGAAAGAGGTCTGCATTTCACCCTGTAGAAAATGGAATTTGCAAGAGTGTTAGACAGATTTGTCAATGGCTGGCTTTTCAGGCGTCCTGAAGACCTGTCTATGTCCTCCAGGAGCTGGCGTTCTGGATCCTCTCTGAACATTAGGAAAGACCTCGTCTCTAGGAAGACAATCTCCTATATGGGCCATGGGTTACATTTGAGGGAGAGCAAGAACAAATTGAGGCTTTGGGGAAAAGCAGGTTTCTGAGAAGGTAGTAACAAAGCTCGTTCCTCCCTCCCACTTCACACACCAGCCTGGCTGTCTAAAACAGAGAATGGTCACATCGGGCAGCTCTGAAGGTCAGAATGCTCTGGTTACTATGGTCCAGAATGACAACTGAGTGGCTATGGCCCTTAAGGTCAGAAGTAGAGCTTCTGATAGTCTAAGGATAAAGAGTGGCAGAAGAGCTATGAACAGAGGTGTCTCTGCCATGTAGCTTTGCAAAGGGTGGTGATAAGGGATGACAAAGATCTCAAGCCCAAGGATCCAGCAAGAGGCAGTCCTGACATTCTGAACTCCCAGCGCCCGCCTCCTCCTTCCCTCTCCTAGAGAGGCTGGGTGCTGCCAGGTCAGCGTCTCCGGGTGTGACTCATGTCTCAGCCACCCTGCCTGGGACACTGGCAGCCACCCCCGCCCTTGCAGGCCTGCTTGAGACATGACTGCTCACTCCTTTTATTTATTCCCTGTTCCTCAACCACCTCGCCTCAGCCCACCCCGTGACTAATGGGCTCCCACCACCCACCCCGGGGCATGCTGAGAGGGCATCACCAGCACTGCAATTATCTGGATCATGCAGGCCCAAAGACTCTCTCCACCCCCAGCCCCCAGCACCAACTTTGTCCTGAAATTATTTGCATCACCCCAGCGATTCCAACGCATTGTCTACACATGACGTGAATCCACAGCCTCTGGTTTTAAAGGCTAGTGCTGGGCTGGCCAGTGATTCCTTCACACCGGCCATGTCACCAACTTCTCATGCCTCAGAAACAAGGTCATTTTAGAGCTAACGGGATCTTAG